TCATAAGTCTTATAAAATTTCCTACATTCTGTATTTTACTGGTCCCATCCCTATGATATTGTTTAAAATGTTCATCTTTCCCCTAATGTTTTATAAATTAATGAGCAATTTAAAAATTTGGGTGAGTTTTAAATTCCCTTTTTTTTTCTTTTTTTGGGCGGGCCAGGGATTGAACCCAGGGATGCTTAAGCACTGAGCCATATCCCAGACTGTTCTTATTTTGAGACAGGGTTTCACTAAGTTGCACAGGGCCTCACTAAATTGTTGAGACTGGCTTTGAACTTCTAATCCTGCCTCATCCTCCTGAGCTGTTGTAGGTGTTTTTAATTGTTGTAGTTTTGTTTTGTTTTTAAAGAAAAAGTAGTACATCTTTCACTTCACTGACTAAAGATACCACTTTTGTTAATTTTTTCATATTAATGCCATCATTTTAAGTTCTAAAGAAATAACAAAAATCACTCTAGCTTGGTTTGTAGTAAGTTTAGCTTTTGAATTCCAAAGTTGTGAATGATGATTTTGCTTCATTATAACATTTTATTTCCCTCTCAGATTTGGCAAGAAGAAAAATACACATTGGTTGTTTGTTTTTATAGTCCCTGAAAATTTTAAAGGTATGTGCCTGCTGGATATAGCATTTGTTTTTTCTTCAAACAGAAATCATAAGGTCAATATTTAATACAAAATTCTTAGATTGTATTTCAGGGTATGGAGCTGATATTACTTTAACAGAACCACTGACAATGGAAAAAATGAGTCTTGTGGTAAAATATTGGAAAACGTATTTCTCAGATACAGGTGAGTGAAAAATAAATATCCAAAGGTTTGAAAAATTCTCATTAAAATTCTATGAAACCATGCCTATACATTTTTATATTGGTCCCCACTTGTACTCACATCTTATTTACTGAGGATTAACTATTTGCTACCTACTCTAACAAACATGTAGTCTTTGTTTAATCGTGGTCAGAAGAAAATAAAGTATAAATAAAGAGAAAACTTTGTTTAAACCTAAGAGAAAAAGACTTACATCTTAGAGGCTTAAAATGTGTTGCCTAATACAGTGTTGTTTGTGGTAGACTCAGGTGTTTTTTTTGTTGTTGTTGTTGTTGTTTTGTTTTTTGGTAAAAAGATCATGACTAATTTTTTTTATAGCATAGCTACCATACTTTCTTAGTCATTAAGATGGAGTCAATCATGCTGCGTCATTCTATGAATGTCTAAAATTCAGAGGCACTAGCCATGAATTGAATACTACTTTATTAATAATAAAATAAATTATTCTGTCTCTTTAATAGGATGGTTATATTTCTCCTCTAAATCTCTAGACACAGAGAATTAGTGTCAATGCTTCAGTTAGACCTTACATTTCTAATCTCTTTATCTGTTGTATTATTTGTATTGCTAGAATCTAAACACAAACTAATTAAATTGGCTTTACTTGTAAAAGGACAAGCTCCAGGTTCTGAAATCCTGTTCTACTGGAATTAATGTTGGTCAGTGACTATTGTTTGATTGTTGCAGGCCTAGGACAATAGCTGATGACTCTTCTAGAATTAAGATGATATCAATGGGGAGATGTGGGTGAAGGGGTACAAAGTTTCAGCTATGTAAAAGGAACAAATTCCGGAGACCTAACAAACAGCTTGGTGACTGTAGTTAACAATACTGTACTGTATACTTACCTTAAGTGTTCCCATGACATACACAGAAAAGAGAAAATAAATATTTGAGGTAGAAGACATGTTAATTAATTTGATTGTGGTGATTATTGCACAGTATATATCAACTCTAATTTTACATCCTAAACACATACAATTTAGGATTGTCAGTCATACCTCAATAAAGGTAGAAAATTTTTAAATTAAGATAATATTTTTCTTAAAATATGCCTTAGGATACTTTCAGAATTATCCTAAGGCATATTCCTATGTTCATATTCCAGAAGATACAGCGTTCAGTACAGCCTGACTTTTTAAAATCTTATTTTAAAATATTTAGATTAGTGAGTCTGCCTTGTGATACGCCCATGGCTCCCAGCCCCTGCAGTGTCAGAGTTCTTCCTGGAAATGACTGTGGTGGCCAAGGTCCTTTTGGCAATTTGTTCTTAGCTAGTCCTCAGTAGAAACAGAGCAGCTGCTCATCACCTGTCCAAAAACCTTCTATTGGTCACGACCACGCCCGCTTCCAGTTGCCTCATCTTTGTTCCAAGGATGAGCAGCTGCAAAAAAAAAAAAAAAAAAATTAAAAACAAGAAAGAAAGAAAAGAAAAAAATTTTCAGAGCCATATTTTGACAATGCAGCTGCTTATTGAAGACTCATACATATTTTCTCTCTTGACATTTACCTATAAATAGGAATTTGATAAATAAATTCAGTGGAATGTGTTTTAAGCACACCTGTCACTTGGTTGAAAAAGAGGATATTCTGGTGTAAATAGTATTTTAATTTTGCTTTCTAACTTGGGTCATTTTGTGCTTCACAGAGTGAAATCTAAAAATCCCTTAGAATTAAAATGGTCCTCTTTCTTTCAGATAAGAATGAAAATGCTATAAGGGCTGAAGAACATGAATTACCCCTACAGAGTACCTTCAGTGAACACCTGGGGTATTTTTCCACTGATCTATTCACTTGGTTAGTGGATTTTTTTAATATTAGCAATTTTTACTGTGATCATTAAAAAAAAATGTTGGTTATGGGAAAATAGCTGAAGTGCTGTGGATGATGCAATAGAAAAAGCTCTTTTGTGGAAGAGGGGTGTGATGTTTTCTGTATTGCAGAAACCTGAGTGGGAACTGTGGGTACTCATTACAAAAATATCTCAATATAAGAAGGTCTTCCATTAACAGTTGTAGTTGACCACAGGGAAACAGGTCAAATTGTAAGGTAGCAGGTTCCTCAGGGAAATGTATCAGTGTTTGAGTCTGGGTTATTAATAATCAAAGTTACATAATGGAAGTGATATTCAAACTTAAAAAGCAGTAGAATTCTTTCTTCAAAGAAAAACTTGGAACGCTAATAATTAAACAGAAAAAGCAGGCTTACCTGTTATCCCCCTCCCACTCAACTTTCTCCTTGTTGTCTTTTTTGAACTCATTGCTGCAGTTACTGAAAACCCTCCTCAAAAAAACCTTAAGAGATTCTTCCACAGACTTCATGTAGCTTGCCCTTGATACACAGGGCAAGTTATGGAGTGTCTTTCTCTCAGTGTTGTCTGTCATCCTCAGAGCTGTCTGTCTTTTTTAAAACTGGAAGTTAAATCTGCATTGAACAGGCAGTTGAAGTGCAGGTCAGATCCTTCCAATGTTAGCATTGTATTCTTATAAAGATTAAGTTTTTCTGAAGTTCTTTCTTTACTTTGAGCTAATTTCCACAGAGGGTTTAAATAGAGCCTAGGGCTACAAAGTGGATGTAAGTGCCTAGGCTGTGAGTACTAAGTTGAGAATTTAGTCAGTCCCATCTAGAATTTGTAGAATGTGGCCATCTGCTATTTTGAACAAGGAAGGGACTTGGCAACCAGTTAAGTGTGGTTAAACCAAAGATGAGCTCACTTAAGTAGTACAGAGATAGCAACAGCTTCTTTAATCTTATTTAGCATCTTAACCTCAAAGAGCTTTACTGTACCTGGGAGGTGATCCCATATCTCAGATATGAGGTTGGGAAGGGTATTGGTAGGTTTCCTGATTTTCGTATATTACTTGCAAGAGTTTTTCATCTCTACTCATCTTGAATGTTTGTCTCTTCTCAGAATCTTATAACTATAAATAAGAGTAAATGTGCAAATCAAGTTTTATTCTTTTAGATAAAGGAAATGGGATTAGTTTGCATGATTTTTAGGTTGATTTAAAACAAAAATATCAATTGAAAAGCCTGAAGAAGTTCCTGAAAAATAGAAGAGCCAGAAAATGTCCACTAAACAATCAATTTTGGAATAGAAAGAACCTGCCCTCTGCTGATCAAGTTGAAAAGGATATTTCTTGGCTGGTACTGTTTATTCTGAAGAGTAGATACAGTCATGCTCCTTTCCTTACAATGGGGATATGTCCCAATAAAAACTTAAATTATAAGTTGAAATTACCATAAGTCAAAAATGCATCAAATCCCCCTAACCTTGTGAATAGCATAGCTTAGTCTAGCCTACCTTAAACATGCTCAGAACACCTATCTTAGCTTATAATTGGCCAAGGTCATCTAACACAAAGCCTGTTTTGTAATACGTTACATAAGCATTGAATATGTCTTGTAATTTACTGAATACTGTGCTGAAAGTAGAAAAGAGAAAGGTGGTGTTGGTGTATATTCACACCATGGTGAAGTGAAAAAATTATAAGCCAAACAAAGGTTGGTTGGGGGACTGTCTATCACAATCAATGAAATCAGAACATTTTAACCCTGCTTTTATCTATTATACTTTATCAGTATATTTTAGAATTTTGAGCATTGAACTTACAATGATTTTAATACAGTCTTTTGAAATTTTGAGATAAAATGTTCTGCACAAAATGCATAAGGTAAAGTGCTTCAGTATTTATTGTTCCTTTGTAGGAAGCGAGACATTTATTGTTGTTATCCTTTGTATGAAGCAAGAGACTTAGGAAGCATTATTTGATTAAGTGTGTTGTGCTTATTGTTCAATATTGCCTGAGAATTTTTTTCTTTAATATGTGGTATCATTTTATCTTGTTTCTAGCGCTGAATCTGTAAGAAATGATATTGGACTTGAACTAAAGACTCCATTGCCAGATTTTGAGAAAAGCAAAAAGATTTCCTTTCTTCATTCAAGCAAAGAAAAGCTAAGAAGGTGAATATTGATAAGGCCCTTTTTTAGCCTTACTTCTTTAAAGGGAGAAATTTAATGAATTTCATAGTTTTCTTGTAATATTGTTAAGAAATTCAATGAAACATAAATGTGGCAACTCAATAGATGCCACTCACTCTCTCAGTCATTCAACAAATATCTGTGAGTACATACTATATGTAGAGATGAGTAGAGAATGAGTAGAGATCTGAGATTAAAAAAAAATAAATCCCTGACTTCCAAGAAGGCTTCAGTTCAGAGCTTAAGCAGACTTCTAAATAAGTTGTTAAGTAAAAAATATGTTTCAATAGATGTCATGATAGAGAAGAACAAAGTAAGCGCACTAAGAAAGTTATTGAAAAATGAGGGAGTATGGAAGGCTTTCTTGAGAAGGTTATAGGCAAATTGAGCTTTCAACAAAAAGTCACTATTCAATTGGTTTAGGAGTCAGGGAGAGATCTATTTTTATTGGCGCATTGTAATTATACATAATAATGAGATTCGTTTTGCCATATTTGTACATGCACAAAAAATAATTTGATCAGTCTCATCCCCCAGTGCCCTCCCTTTCTTTCCCCTGGATGGATGTTTCATATGAAGGAAAGAGCAGGTACAGAGGCTGGCAGCACCACTGAGTCCACTGAATTTATAGAACTGTAAATACTTCTATGAAGTTGGCTGTCAGGACTCAAGTGGGAAAAGGGAAGAGATGAGTCATAGAGGGTAAGGGTTGGGAATGTCATGCTGCAGAATTATAATTGCAACCTGGATTATTGGGGAATCACTAGAGAAATTTAGCAAAGGGTGATAGTTTAGGATTGATGCCTTAGAATGAATACTTTCACAGGACATAAGAGAGGGAATTGAGTCTGGAGTCCAGGAGTAGTTAGAAATTTTGAGATCCTAAGCAATAGTGTTAGAAATGGGTGGGAGAGGAATAAGCCAGTTCTAAATTAAGAAAGTGAAATCAGCATGAACATGACTGAAGGGAGACTCAAGTGTCACTCCCAAGTAGATGTGGACTAGGAGTTACAGTAAAATGGAAGTCTGGGGCTGGGGTTGTGGCTAAGTGGTAGAGCACTTGCCTAGCATGTACGAAGCACTGGGTTCAATTCTCTGGGTTTAATTCTCAGCACCACATTACATAAATAAATAAAATAAAGATATTGGGTCCAAATACAATTTAAAAATATTTTTAAAAATGGTAGTCTGAAG